CAATTAAAGGGAACAAAACCATCACCTGGAAAATTCTTATCCTCTCTTTTTCTACTCATGGACGCCTCCAAGGATGAGCAAGGGCCATCTGATTCCACAGCCACCACTCTTCCATTTCCGAATTCTCTAAACCTGAACCTGGAACATTACAACATAGACGCAGAAGCGGCACAAGAAGAAGATGAGTATGACATCAAAAAAGCAGGAAGGGAAGGTCTAAGGCTGGACTTAATGCTTGCAGAATATGATTATAGTCAACCACAGCTCAATCAAGAACTCAATCTCATCGACTGCTTAGAAGCGAGTGTTGTCTGTCCGAGTTATAATGGGTCAAGTTCCACTGAGAAGAAGCTCTTCTCGTGTAACTACTGTCAAAGAACGTTTTACAGCTCCCAGGCTCTTGGTGGTCACCAAAACGCCCACAAAAGAGAGAGGACTTTAGCAAAGCGAGGGCAACGGATGGCATCTGCTGCAGCTTTCGGGTATCCTTACGGTTTTGCTCCACTCCCGTTCCACGGACAGTACAACAACAGATCCTTGGGTATTCAGGCGCACTCAATGAGTCACAAGCTAAGTTCATATAACGCTTTTGGCGGTGAGTATGGTCAGATCAACTGGTCAAGAATACCACTTGTTCATCAACCAGCCATAGGTAAACTATCAGCAACTGAGAATCATCATAACCATCATCAGATGATGATTGCTCCATCGTTGACTTCACCAAGTGGAAACATCGGTAAGTTCGATGTAGGAAGGATTCCAGTAGAGTTTCCAACTCCAGAACAATGGCGGAGAGGCGGGGAATTGTTGAAGCCTGCTGAAGAAGAGCAGCCAAAGAAGCTTGACTTGTCCCTCAAGCTCTGAGATCTTTTTCTTTCTTTTTTTGGTTTTGCTCTGCAATTGTTATTCCTCGAGCCAAGCCCTCTGCTCGAGTTTTGTTTCTTTGTGCTGGTTCTTTGTGAGTATATTTTGTCTACCATAGATTTTTATGATGTACATCTTTCAACATTTCTACAAAGTATGAGGATTTTTCAACTAGACATCAATGGATTTGTAGTAGACACCTAACTACCATAAAAGAGTTGGTGCAGTGAGAAGTTCCTAGAAACTTTTTAATGTATAAACAAAAGATATGATACTGAGATCTATGGGAAGATTTGTTGTCAATGGAAAACAGAGAAAAAAACTAATTATAAAGTGACAGTTGGGTTACCTAAAAGTAAGAAAAAACATTCTTTTATTGAAAAGTGGTTAACAAGACACAGATATAAAAGACAGTTGTTGTTAATTGTGATGATGATAAGAAGCAAAAAGTTGAGAAGAAAGAAACAAAATTAGTACATCAGATGATCCTAATAATGCAGCTAACAACAAATCATGAAAATAATCAAGAATCCAATGAAATCTTTGTGAGACCCCAAGACATAGAGTGACCAGTCTTTGGCCTTTAGGATGAGTTTTCATGCACTAGCTACACATACATAAATAGAATGTACACAATAACCATGTGCGTATGATGCACAAAAAAGTGGGACAAGAGCCAAGACCATGAGACTAAAAAACAGACTTCATATAATTCTAATGGACTGACTCCAAACTTGTCTATACAAGTTGAGATGACATATGTCAAATGAAGGAAACATCAAACTTTAGAATACTTTCATAGAGTATTATCCTCAGAATGAAGTTTCAGGTACTTCAGAAACTTACCATTACTAGAGGAAAATGTAGAAGCCAAAAAGCATATTTGACACAGTTGCAATAATCACCAAACATTGGTATATGAATGTGAAATACTTAAAGATTATCAAGCTTTTCACCTAGCATCACAGAGAACTCTTTACATTTTCTTCATAGTACGCATTTAGGCAGAAGACAGATCATCTTGTTTGATTTCAGATAGTCTCATTGGCCACAATTAACAAACAAACAGGTTAATGAATAAAACCAAGAGGATCCACCAAGGCAGACAATAACACATGTGGGAAAATAAAGTATAATGGAACCAAACCTCTTTAACTCCTCCTGGGTCCATTCATCATCTTCTTGTATACTAAAATCTAACCACAACAATACTCTTCAATCTGAGTCACACATTCCTGAAACACGTTGAAGAAAACAAGTTGAGACATAAAAGATCTTTTGATGGCTCATTATCAAGTTGCTACCAAATTCAATCCACATTTCAGCAGATAATATAATTGAATGAGTGTAAGTGAGAAACAAAAAAATATATCAGTGATGATGGACTGTTCCTCATGCCTTTACTCCTACAATTCCATGAACATAAGATCAAATGTGAATCAGATCCTCTTTCAACGCAATGAGACATTTACCAGTGTTCTCTAATTTGCAGTTGGCACCATTAATAAAAAGCAAGACAACAAATTTATGGCTAATAAGTTAAATCTCGTTCTCTTTTTCAATCATTACAATGCTCCGATCAGTTCTATTGTGCACTTCGCCAGCAAAACACATATATGAAGCTG